CTATGATTGACATATGTATGACACATGAAATTATGGAACACCAAAAAGTCTAAAACTCTATTTGAATATCTGTGCATTTATAAGAAAAAAATGTTTCAATTATAAGATTTGTAAATCATTATTATATCAAAGGATAAATTAATTTAAATTATAGTAATTTAAATTTATTTCACTTTTATTTACAACCATAAATGCAGTTATATATGTTATAAATGTTGAATAATTTTAGACAAATTGTTAATTTTCAATGAGAAAAATTGTCCAAAGGGGGGTGAATAGCATTGAGTAAAAACCAAGGTCCAATTTGTCCAGTTACACTGTTACCCATGCTGCAGACGAGCTCAACCAGACTCATCCAGACCTCTCTTTCCCCAACCCTAAAATCAAAATCCCCAATTTCAAAACTTCATTTTGCAGACATTCACATCATGCAATCGCCATGCATAGATGCTTGCAAAACCTTCAAGGGCAGCATCTTCCAGCTGCAATTCCATGGAATTCAGATTGATCACTGCTCCATTTTCTCTTCTTCTTCAGCTCGCCGGCGCAGTTCTCATCCCAGCATCTCGTGCAATTTCACCGCAAATTATGGTCATCAAGTTGAAAATCAGAGAAGAGTTACGGGAGTTCGAGCAAAGGGGAAGGAGAACGTGTGGAGCATTGACAACGAGATGGCAAGAGCGGAGAAGGAAAAGGAGAGAATGGCGAGGAGGAGGAAGATGAGAAAGGGAAGAAAGAGAGTGAGGCATGTGAACAGGAAAGGTGGTAAAGTTATGGTGTCTGGTTCAATGTTAATGGAAGTCGAAACAGTCTTGCAGACACAGGTAATGTTCATCTGAAGTTTGAGGGATTTCAGTTAGGCCTAGCAGTTCGCATGATTGCGGCATGATCGCCTATGCTGTTCTCGTGTTACCCATTTTTGTTCTTTTCCACTTAATTTTACAGTTTCGTGCATTTGAGTTGTGTCTCCTGTGGTGTTCTGCTGTGTCATATTTTCAATTTATGTATCACCCATTGCCATCTATAATATCAGTTATCTGTGTTGTTGATTATGTGCAGATTGGATTTGATTTTGAAATGAATTATGAGTTTGCATTACCATCTGTTGTTGCTCATGTCGGGAAACATATTATGTAACATAGCTGCTAACTGCTGACAAGAAATATGATTGTTCCATGTCAAGTTATTTGAAAATTTTACATTAGCATATAAGTGCAAGTGTGTATTAGAGATAATGACAACAGGGCATGCAACTTGACAAAGCTACACATGGTGCAGTTACACTGCTGACAAGAAATATGATTGTTCCATGTCAAGTTATTTGAAAATTTTACATTAGCATATAAGTGCAAGTGTGTATTAGAGATAATGACAACAGGGCATGCAACTTGACAAAGCTACACATGGTGCAGTTACAGCTGATCCGAAGCCATTAGCTTGATGTGATGAGTGGAAATTTGTGCTGGATACAAAACCTTGATTCTGGTTTCTATACGCTGTTCTGTGAATATAGTCTGATAACTGTTTATGGGGGGCCTTCTTTTAATGGAGTTTGAATCAGTGCCATGTATTGTCCTAAAACTTGGTCCATTGATCCATCTGATGCACTAAATCTATGACTGAGAAGAAAAATCTGCTTTTCTTACAATCTGTGTTCTTCATTCTTCTTTCCTCAAGCCTCATATTCTCTGCTTTGGTAATCCAAAGAAGATTGTATTGACCCATACTTGGTTAAATAAGGCACAACTCTCTCCATCATATTCGAATTAACAAGAAGATTTCACGATTACAGGAGCCAGTAATTCGACCTTCATGGCATACATTTGTAAGTAGTGTTAGTGGGATATGGAAGGGAGTGGGAGCCGTATATTCACCCATCACGGCAGAGATGGAACCGGTTGAGATTGGGGGCAGAAATGAGAATTTATTTGATTGCTACACTTTGTCGCACATCGAGGCATTGCCTTCCACTTCTGGGGTTCAGAGTACTCGAATAAATAGGAAAGTAAATTGGATCCCACTGAATCCTTATGGTGAAGCTAAGAGTATTGGAGATGTTCGTGGGAATAAAGAACACGATGATGCATCATTGCCCCCAATTGAATCGTTCGACTTCGGAGGCAGTGATGTGATGGAAGAAGATGTGATGGGCATGGAGCCTGGTCTCGTTTTCTTTGAGGTAATACTTGTTCAGCTCATTTGAAGTTGATACGTGATTCCCTATTATTTTTGGCATAGAATATAGCATTAAAGTCTTGACACTCTTGAAATTTAAACATTTGTATAGTTATCGTGACCAATGATACTCTTAATGTGTCATATAAATAGTGTGCTCATTTTTACCTATACTTCATCATGTATAAGTTCGATAAGTGAATTTTCAGGATGGATCATATTCCAGAGGCCCAGTGGATATTCCAATCGGAGATTCAGAAGAGACTGAATACTATCTTTCTCCTACTTTCAAGTTTGAGCAAGTATGTGTCTCTTTGCCATGCAGATTTTTTTTTTTTTTGGGTTTGTTCCTCACATTTTATGCTGGTGTCTACTTAGTTAATCCACACTAACATTACTTTAGCCGGCCGCTGGCCCAGTCACCCTCTACTATCACAGTTTAATTTACAAATGACCGTTTTTCTTCTAAGCTCATAATTTGATGAATGACAAATTTCAGATATCTATCTCTTCACAATTATTGTGGTGCACCTTCCTGTATTAAATTACCAGATGTCGGATTGGTATATTTTTCCCTTTATTCAGTGTTTGGTCAAAGGTTGCCACAAGAGACTGCGCGTAGTACATACTATAGAGTTCAGCAGTGGTGGTTCAGATATCCAAATAATGAGGGTTGCGGCATATGAAGAAGAATGGGTCAGCCCGTCCAATATCCCCATCACCAGGTTTCACTATTCACTTGTTAAAAAAGAAAAAAAAAAATTACGCACACAAACAAGTTGTAATTAGTTGACAAAACATGTTTCATACAGTGAGCTGGCATTGGACCTGAAGCCCTTCTCCCAGAGAAAAAGGGTGCAACCATCGGAACTCACGGGCTCCTGGAAAGTGTTTGAGGTGAGCGCCACGCCAATCTACGGTGAGGATCTAACAATCGAGGAAGGGAACACCGCCCCATACGTGTACCTCTGCACGGAGAATCTGAACAAGAGGAGCCTTCCCGAGAACCCAGTTTACTTCCGGGAGGAGGAGATGGTGGATATGCAGGACGTGAGTGTCCTGTGGCTGCCAGGTGGCGTGACAGCCTACGTGGACGTGAAGAAGGACGGTGTTCTGTGCATAGGGGTCGGGTGGTACTCAGATGAAGGGATTAACCTAGTGATGGAGAGGGACTATGGGTTGGACGGGAAGCTTAGGGAGGTGAGGTCCAAGTCCGAGATGAAGAGGAGGTGGACAAATCCTCCCCCGATGTAAGAACCTCTATCTATCTATCTCTCTCTCCTAAAATAGTTGGTCTTTATGGATCGAGGAATATTTTGGTAATTGTCATTGATAATTTTGATTCCTACCACGCTAAATATGTGCATGGTAGGAATTTATACCTTTTTAGCAACGTAATGGGTGGTTAATACACACGTGTGACAAAGGCATCACATCATTTTTAAAATCAACGACTCATACAGTTGCACAGCACATTATTTTAAAACCTACACAGGCGAGCTTGCTTTGGAAGAAAGAAGAAGAAGAGATAGTCGACTTTTTTCGAGCGAAATGCAAGGATTAAGTATGAATTGAGAGGAAATGCAAGGATTGAGTATGAATTGAGAGGAAATGCAAGGATTGAGTGAAGTGATCTGTAGAAATAACGAACGAGATAGTCGACTTTTTTCGAGCGAATTGAGATTTAGGTTAGTTGGCCTGTCACCAACTACTCAATTACATTAGTCAAAAAGGCACTTGATTTGTTGAGAGAACTTTTCTTCTATGCCAGCCCAGCAGTGTCTAAGTTAGAACTTATCTTAATTTCTTTTTTTTTTTTTCTTTCCAANCAAATAAAATTACATCCTGTTATTGAAGCAAAATAAGAACAAAAATGAAAACGAACAAACACCACACGCCACTAAATAGTAAATCCCAACTCGCCAACAACAAAACATAACTAAGATGCGCCGAAACAAGAGAGAGAGAGAAAAAAAAAGGTAAACATAATTTGGCCTAGCCCATTAATCCCACCATAACAATTGACACCAACCCAGCCACCACCAAACCGCCACCTCCGCCCAAACCCGTGGCGGCAGATGGCCGCGGAGTCCCCCCAGCCGCCGGTGGGCCGCCTGGAGTTGACGGCGTGGACCCTCCTGACGCCGGTGGGCCGGCTGGAGTCGACCCTCCGGCAACATTGACGGACAGCCTCTGGCCACCTGAGCAGTGTCCGGTGACGGGGCATATGAAGTACCATTCACCGGAGGTATTCAGTGTAATGGTAGCGGGGCTTGCCGTGTATGATCTGATGGGGCTTGCGGAGCTGCAGCTACTAAAATCATCCGCGCTCACTATATCCACACTATGAGGAGGACCAAAGTTGAACACTGGATCACAAATTTGTCATATTAGTTAGTTTCGTTTTACGTTGATGCATATACATATGATTTGAGAGCCACTATTAGTGCTGTTAAATTAAGCGAGCTTGGCTCGGCTCGAGTTCGGCTCATTTAAAGCTCGAAAAGAGAATTTTATATAATTTTCTATAGTTTGTCTCGTTAATTTTCTATAATTTTATATAATTCTCTAAGCTCGAGCTCGACTCGGCTCTTTTACAGGCCTAGCGACTATACACACACATATATATAGAGGTAGAAAATGAACTTACCGAGGTTATCATTGACTCGAAAAGTTTGGCGGCTAGCCCATTCGGTGTAGTTGAAGGATGCGGTCCAGCCGGTGGAGCCGCCTACAGTGTGGTCCACGGCTTGTGCTGCCGGAAAAACAAACAGGAATACCAAAAAAACCGTGGCTTTGGACATTTTCCGTTAATATATGTGGCTTGCTGAAACTGTTATTGTGACAATGTGTGATATATATGAGAAACTCAAATGTGGATAATGAAATTTGGTGGTGCAGCTTATATAAAGTACAGGCAGGGGGAGTAGGTAATGTGTTAAAAGGTTAAGTAATAGTTGGAAGGGAATAATGATAATAAGAAAAGTCAAAATAATATTCGGTCTTGAATTATTATTATTATTATTAATTGTTTTTATTTTTCTGTTATATGAACTTTTTTTTTTTGTAATCTTTACTATCTCTATACCTAATATTTTGAATTTAGCCAAAGTTTGTTATGATATCACTGTACCTAATGCATATTACTTGACAAAAGCTATCTAGGGATGTTGAAAACAGGGGAAAAGAGTTAACAGTTCCAGTATCATATTCGTCCAATGAAAATAATATACTTGCCTTTGTTCATATTCCTATCATCTTTTATTCTCGTGAAAATGAAGGAACAATTATTTAATTGTAAATATATGTTTCTTTTACATATTTTTACACTAAGTTGTTAGACTTTNGAAGAGAGTAGGCTGGTATACTGTATATGCATGAATGACATTGAGAGGCCATTGTCACACGACAACGACTTCGAGTTAATACTTCTGGGGCAGTTAAATCTCTATCTCCATATCGTTTTCATTTTTCTTCGTCTACCACTTTATTGATTATCTTAACTCTGCAATATTTTATAGCCACCATGAGATTTGTTAGTTGTTACAATCTTTTTTTGTTTTAGCTGGTCAACTTTACGTTATAATTTAATTTTGGTAGTGGAGAGAAGGTGGAAAGCAACTTTCATGGGGATCAATTATCCCACCAAACCGTATGGGGCATCTAGGCTTTATTACCGTATGGGGCATCTAGGCTTTATTAAAAAGTTGCATGTGGGGGCACACTCATTGCTCTTCATTTTATAAAAATAACATAATTACTTTATTCTAATTTGAATTTTATTTAATAGAACACATGCATAGACTAGTCCTATAATTAACTCGTGACCACGAAACATAGCCTGAAACTAATAAATACGTGAGTGCACAAAAAACACGAAACTCTCCGGTAAGAGGAATTCAATCTGCAACTATTTTAGTTGTCACGTCACACACAAAATCCATAACTTCTGAATGTTAAATTCAATAATAGTTCACATCCCTAAATTT